ATATTTGGGTAGATACTATTATCAATTGTATCTCCATACAACTCCCAGATCATTAAGCCGACAAATCTTTATTTTCACACATCTTATGTGTTAGCTTAACTTGCCTCTAAAATTTATCTCCTTGAGTGTACTCAACAAAAGATAAATTTTAGTTAAGTCAAACTCATCATTCAGAAATATCAAATATTTCATAGTGTCAAACATATCCCTAATGGACCAGCCTTGAGTGTACTCAACAAGCTGAGACGATTTGGGACTCTGGTTCTTCACTATAATGATGGAAGGCGATTACAAATGTGACTTAATATTTTATAGAGAGATTTTGCATTTATGAGTCTCATCAACAACAATACAATCATATGTACTATTATTATACATCTACTATGCAAATAAATATATATATATGTATATATATATATAATAGTGTGGACGATAATGGACCTTTTACTATCTAGTCTTCCCGAGCCATAAGGAAGACTAGTTGGTCAATTCCTAGGAGGTATAGCATTGAACAGTGTCAATGCACCATCTCTATGGTCTCCACCTCTTCTTGTCTCTTCAATTAGTCCAATTCCAATATGTATCCTATACTAGTTGGCGTGCAGGCCTAAATGAAATTGGACTCGCAGGCCCATAGTAACAATAATAATAATGGACTCGCAGGTCCAAAATAATAACAATAATAACGGGCTCGCAGGCCCAAAATAATTAAGAGCTCGCAGGCTCATAAAACAACAAAATTAAAAATTAATCATTCAGCACATCCATATGGTCGAGTCCATAATCGTCCACTAATAATACATTCATCACATAAATGTATACCTATATAATATCTAATATTATATGCAAATAAGTTTCAAGTTTCTAGCAATTAAGTCGTCTAAACTCTTTTAGACAAATGGATCGGATTAATTAAATAATTAATTAATCATATTAATCGATTATTTAATTAGCGGGAATATTTAATTAAAATCAAATTTTAATTAAATAACAAATTAGAGTCAAACTCCAATTCAACAATTATATGGCGGGATTATTTAATTAAAATCAAATCTTAATTAAATATCAAATTAGAGTCAAACTCTAATTTCAAAATGTAAGGCGGTTGAATTTAATTAAAATCAAATTTTAATTAAATAGTAGAATTAGAGTCAAACTCTAAATCTAAGATTTTTAGGGTCAACCAGTTTAATTAAAATCAAATTTTAATCAAACACCAAATTAGAGTCTAATTCTAATTGGAACAAATTATAGGGTGAATTGATTTAATTAAAATCTAATTTTAATTAAATAGCAAATTAGAATCAAACTCTAATTCCAAGAATTTAGGGCGAATTAATTTAATTAAAATCAAAATTTTAATTAAATACCAAATTAGAGTCCAACTCTAA